ATATTGAAGAAGATTGTGAATATACATATCCATGTAGATGTGGTGACAGTTATATTATTACAGAAGATCAATTATCTGAAGGAAATGATGTAGTTTGTTGTTCTGGTTGTTCTTTGTCAATAAAAGTAATTTATCAAATGGAATGATAATAATAATAAATAATAAACCAAAATAAGAAAACGAAAAAATTATTCGAACCCGCCATTTTTTTTTTTTTTTTTTTTTTTTTTTTTTATTAATTTTTTATTTTTTTTTTTATTTTTTTTATTTTTTTAATATATTTTTTTTTTTATAATTATTATTTTTTTTATATTTTTTTTTTATAAAACAATTTCATTTATATTAAATAGTAATAAAAAGGTGAACTTTGATTTTTTTTATCTGTTATTAGTTTTTTCATTCCATACACCATTATTTTTATTTTTTTTTTTTGAATTTTTTAATTTTGAAAAAAAAAAAAATTTAAATTTTTTCATTATTTGTTCTCCCAAAAAAAAACAACTTCACACAGTTTGTTTTGGGCATATTATTAGAAAACTAATTTTAATAATAAATAATAGACTCTATTAATAAATAAATAAATTTTGTGAATAAAAAAAAAAAAAAAAAAAAAAGAACAAAGAATCGAAAAAAAAAATCAAAAAAAAAAAAAATCAAAAAAAAAAAAAATCAAATAAATATGGATGCAACAGCAAAAAAGGACAAGAAAGAAGTGAGTGGCACAAATGGCAAAACTTCACCAAATACAACAACAACTACTACTACCACTACATCATCATCATTAACAGCAGTAGGAAAAAGAAATGACAGTCCAACAGTTTCATCCAGTGGAAATCAATCACCAAAATCGATGGAAAATGAAGAGGATGAAGTTATGGAAGAAGAAGAAGAAGAGGACGATACAAATGGAAACGAAAATGGTGATGATGAAGATCCACATCCATTCTTTGATGACGATGAAGTTGAAGAGGAGGATAATGATGATTCAACCATTCAAAATGGTATCAATAGAAAAGATGAGACAGAGGAAGCAAGAAAAGAGAGATTAGAATCAATTAGATTGGAAAAAGAAAGATTAAAACAAATTAGAGAACAACAACGTAAACAATTACAAGAACTTGAAAAAAACCAAAGACAACAATTACAAGAGGATAAAGAGAAATCGGCAAGTGCAAGATTAAAATATTTATTGGAAAGAACTGAAATTTTTACACATTTCGTTTCAAATAGTAATAATAGTACAAAAAAAACAAAAACAAAATCACCAGTTTTATCATCAAATAATAGTAGTAGTAATAATATAGTTTCAAGTACTCCAACTAAAAGAGGTCATATCACAGAGGAGGCAGAGGATGAAGCAATTATGAATGAAACAATGGAAGAGGAGGAACCACACTCTTTCAACTTTTTTACATCAAGTCCACCATGTATGTTTTGATTATTGTTATTTTTTATTTTATTATTTTGTTAATATTTTTATTATAAATTTTCATATAGATATTAAATCAGGCACAATGAGAGATTATCAAGTTTATGGTTTAAATTGGTTGATTCAATTATATGAAAGAGGTATTAATGGTATTTTAGCTGATGAAATGGGTTTAGGTAAAACATTACAAACAATTTCACTTTTGGGATATTTATCAGAATATAAAGGTATTAGAGGTCCACATTTAATTATTGCACCAAAATCAACACTTTCAGGTTGGTCAAAAGAATTTGCAAAATGGTGTCCATTTTTACGTGTTGTTAGATTTCATGGCAGTAAAGAAGAAAGAGTAATTATATATTATTGATTGATTTTTTTTATTTTTTTTACTAATTTCCTTTTTTTTTTTAATTCTTTCAAATATTTGTAGGAGGAAATTAAAAAGAATCAATTAATTTTTAAGAAATTTGATGTTTGTATAACTACATATGAGGTTGCAATTAGAGAGAAATCAACATTTAAAAAGTTTAGTTGGAGATATATTATCATTGATGAAGCACATCGTATTAAAAATGAAAATTCAGTACTTTCAAAAGGTGTTAGAATGTTTAATAGTCAATTTAGATTATTAATAACTGGTACTCCATTACAAGTAAATATAATTTTTTAATTTTAGATTTTAGATTTTAGATTTTAGATTTTGGATTTGGATTGATTTTTTTTAAATAATAATTATTAACATTTTTTATTTATTTATTTTAGAATAATTTACATGAATTATGGTCATTATTAAACTTTTTATTACCAGATGTATTTTCATCATCAGAAGATTTTGATAAATGGTTTGATTTAGCAAATACAGAGAATCAACAAGAGGTTATTGATAAATTACATAAGGTATTGAGACCATTTTTATTGAGAAGAATTAAAACCGAAGTAGAGAAATCATTACCACCAAAGAAAGAGATTAAATTATTTGTTGGTTTATCAACGATGCAAAAGGAATGGTATAAGAGATTACTTTCAAAGGATTTGGATGCTGTAGTTGTTGGTGCCAAAGGTAATACAGGTCGTGTTAGATTATTGAATATTTGTATGCAATTGAGAAAAGCATGCAATCATCCATACCTTTTCGATGGTGCAGAAGAGGAACCCTATACAACTGGTGAACATTTAATTGATAATAGTGGAAAGATGGCATTATTGGATAAACTATTGAAAAAGTTGAAAGAGAGAGGATCAAGAGTTCTAATCTTTTCACAGATGTCTCGTATGTTGGATATCTTGGAGGATTATATGTTATATCGTGGTTATAAGTATGCAAGAATCGATGGTTCAACTGAATCACTCGTTAGAGAGAATTCAATTGAAAACTACAATGCACCTGGCTCAGAGTTATTTGCATTCCTTCTTACAACAAGAGCAGGTGGTCTTGGTATCACTTTGAATACAGCCGATATCGTTATCTTGTTTGATAGTGATTGGAATCCACAAATGGATCTTCAAGCACAAGATCGTGCTCATCGTATTGGTCAAACTAAACCTGTTACAGTTTATCGTTTTGTGACAGAGAATTCAATGGAGGAAAAAATGGTAGAAAAGGCAGAGATGAAACTTCAATTGGATGCATTGGTCATTCAACAAGGTCGTCTCGTCGAGGCAAATAAAAATGCAAAACCTGAAGAGCTCTTGGCAATGCTTAGATTTGGTGCCGATGATATCTTTAAGAGTAAATCATCAACTATCACCGATGAGGATATCGATTCCATCCTCAAAAAAGGCGAGGAGAAAACTGAACAACTCAATAGCAAAGTTAAGGATTTGGCAGCAAATCCACTAAAATTCCAATCCGATGGTAATCTCTACATGTTTGATGGTGTGAACTATAAGAATACTCATGCAAGCTCAGGTTATTGGGCAGAGACATTGAAACGTGAGAGAAAAACAGTTGCTGGTACAGTGGCAGAAGAAGAAGCCGTTCCTCCAAAACCAGTGATAAAGAGAGAAAGACGTTTCAATAAACCAAAGCAAACTCCAATCTACGATTTCCAATTCTATTCATCAAGATTAACACAACTCTACGAGAAAGAGAATGAGGCTTACAATAAAAAGGTAGAGTGGTACGATCAAAAGGATAAAGGTGAGCTCCCAGAGGAAGAGGAGGAACCAGACTTTGGTGATCTCTCAAAGGAGGAACAGGATCTCAAGGAGAAATTAATTAAAACTGGTGGTTTCGGTGATTGGTCAAAAACTGATTTCCGTACTTTTATTCGTGGTTGTGAATTATATGGTCGTAAAGCTTATCAAAGTATCGCTGAAGAGGTTCAAACTAAAACTGAGAAAGAGGTTCAACAATATTCTCAAGCTTTTTGGAGGAAACATTCAGAGGTTGCTGATCATGAAAAATTGATTGCACGTATTGAAAAGGGTGAGGAGAGAATCATGAAATATAAGGAAACTCAAGACTCGTTGAATTATAAGATTAACAAATATAAAAATCCTTGGGTCCAATTAAAGATTCAATATGGTTTGAAGAAGAATAAAAACTATAACGATGAAGAGGATATATTTTTGGTTTGTATGTGCCATCGTTTAGGGTATGGTGCATTTGAAGAATTGAAAGAGGAGATTAGAAAATCACCACAATTCCGTTTCGATTGGTTCATTCAAACTCGTACATGTCAAGAGTTGAAAGCACGTGTCGATCAGTTACTCAAGTATATCATCAAAGAACATCAAGAGGAAATGGAAGCTGCAAGAGAAGCAGAGAAAAGAAAGAAAGAAAAAGAGAAGTTAAAATTAGCTGCTGCCTCTGGTGCCGCCTCTAAAAAGACTGACTCTCCAAATAAAACACTTGGTAAGAGAAAAGATGTTCCACCACCTTCAAAACCACCCGCCAAACCATCTAAAGCTTCCGCTAAATCAAAACCTGGTCCAAAATCAAAAGCTGCAACCACAAAACCCGCCACCAATGGTAGAGGTAAAAAGAAACCTGTTGAGGAAGAAGAACCAATGGAGGAGGAGGAAGAGGAAGAAGAAGAAGAAAACGATGAAGAGGAAGAAGTTAAAGTTCCGCTCAAAAAGAGACAAGTAAAATAAATAAATTAAAAACAAATAAATAAAATCTTAAAAAAATTCAAATCTTAATAATTAAAAAAAACTTATCATTTTATTTTTGTTAACTAAAAAATTTATTTTAAAACCTTTCTATTTGTGAGGTTTTTTATTTTTATAGGTTAAAAGGCCATTTTAATCTATTACTAATTCCATAGATAGAATCAAGCTTACTTCTTTTAAAATAGAAATTAGTATAAAAGGACTCAATTTTCAATTCAAAAAATTCATTATATTCCAATTTTCATTCAAATAATTATTTATTTTATGACAATATTTATTATTATTAGTATCTCAATATATTACCTTATCTTTTGAGATAATTATTTAAGTACATTAGGTTTTCATACCTTGGTTCAAAGTACTATTATTTAATATAATCATTTGATTTTTAAACTATCCCATAAAGGTGACGAAGCATAAATTTAGTTGCATTACCCAATTTTATCAACAAAACGTTTCGATAGCTCAGTGGAAGAGCAAGCGACTGCAAATCGTTAGGTCGCCAGTTCAATCCTGGTTCGGAACTTCTTTTTTGGACTCCAACTCCAACTCCAACTCATGGTCAGGGGTTCGACCCCCTACGATAACATAATTGTACAATTACTTCCAATTCCACCAAATTTTCTTTGCCTTTCCACAACTTGCCCCAATATATTTCGAAATCTACTCAACAACCCCTTCTGCATTAAAAAACCCCCTTCTTCCCGCTAAAAACCTCAAAAACATTAAATCATAAATTGCAAAAAAGTTCCAAATCCACCTCCAATATACTCCCTCTTATTATAAAACTATATCTATATAATACGCAAATATTAACTTTATTAAATAAAAACTTATCTCACGTTTTAAAAAAAAACACGAAAACATATCACCATAGGACCACATTTTCTTATTTTGCAAGGTACCTAAAAACGCACTCAATATTGAAAGTTTAGAAAATGTAAGTGATTAATATTTTCTATTTTAAAATTTTTCTTCGCTAATATATTTTTTCATTTTCTCAGTTGCTGATTCACACTATTGTATCGGAGAAAATGAAAAAATATAAATAAGGTTAATATAATATAAAAAATCTACTAAATAAACTTTAACTAAGGTCAAACAACAATCATTAATATTTAAAAAAAAAAAATTAATTGTTAACTAAAAGAAAATTTCAACAACAACTAATATCTTTTAAAACTTCTTACTCTATGAATCCAATTCCATTACATATCAACATTGAGGCCAACTTTTTTTTCTGAAAAAAAAACGACAATAATAACAAAATTATAAAAAAGTTGAAATACACAATTAATTACCAAATATATTATTTTAAAAAGTAAACAATTTCGATTAATTTATACTACGGATTGAATTTCAATCTTATTATAATTAAAAAACCAAAAAAATTAATTATTATTATTAACTCATGGCCTTTTTTATTTAAGTAAATTAAGTTTACTCATCAAAACTATCCTTTTTTTTAATTAATAAAAAAATCAATATTTTTTATCTTAGAAATGAGAATTCTTTTGAAAAAAAGAGAACAAATGAAATTATTTTTAATTTATTTATTTATTTTTTTATTCTCGATCATAAATCAATTCTATTTAAATTATCTAGATATAATATGATTTCAAGAAATTAATTAAAAGATAAAATAGGGTTTCGATAGTTAAAATTTTTAAATTGTTTTATTTTATTTATTTTTTTGATTATTATTTTAAAAAAAAAAAACATTTAAATTACCATTTTTTATATATAACATTATTTTATTATTTTTATTAATTAATAGATAATCACCTTTTCTAAAAAAATAATTACTACAATAATATGAATAATGATATAAATCTAATCAAAGAAATTATTCTTTTTTATTATTTTTTTTAAATTTTTATTTGTTTTTTTTTTTTTTTAAAAATAGTTTTCTTTATAGATAATTTTAAAATACAAGTTTTCATTTAAAAAACAACACATCTATTACTAATTTTAGTAATAATGTTTTCAATTTTTTTTTAATAAAAAAAAAAGTGTGGTAATAGGTGTATTTAATTGCTTAAAAAAAAACAAATAAAAATCAAATAACCACACTCTTCAAAAACACACACTAAAACCCACTCTTGAATTTTGTCCCATTAGAATATTCAAGACATAATCAAAAATAACAATATATACCATATAAGATGAATCGTATTTTTTTTATAAAACAAAACAACGTCCTCCACATTTTATATAATAGTACTATTATATTTATTTTATTTAATTAATTTAAAAAAATTAAAATAATGGATTATATTATTGTTATCTAAGAATTAAAATAATTATAAATAAAAATATATTACCAAAAAAAAATAAAAAAAAAAAAAAATTCAAAACAAAAAAAAAAAAGTTTTTTTTTTAAACAATTATTTCGATTAACTAAAATAAAATATTTCCAAAAAAAAAATAAAAAAAAAGATTAAATTTTTATAGAATTCTATAAAATTATTGTAAAATTATTATTTTATTTATTTTTTTATTTTTTTCCTTTTAATTTTTTAAATAAAAACTATTAAGCAAAAAAAAAAAAAAAAAAAAAAAAAAAAAAATGGGGAATAGAAATAAAAAGTTTTTTTATTTTTTAATTCAATTAATAACAATTTTAATTGTTTTAGCAGATGGTAAATTATTAATTTTATTTTATTATTACTTTAAATAATTTTACTAATAATAATTTTTTTTTTTTTTTTTTTGCTTAATATTAAAAAGATCCATATAATAATTTATTACCACTTGAAAAGGATATAGCAGTTATTATTAGAGATTTATCACCACAAACCAATCCAGATTTTGAAATTGATAATCCAAATCGTGTTATAAAAGGATTAGTAAAAGATTATTTAAATGATGAAGATCGTAGTCCAATATATTGTTGTGGCGATGAACATGCACCAAATTTCGATAGAAATAGATTCGTTATACATAATCAAAGTACATTTTACAGTTGGTTTCACAATCAAAAGGATGTAAACATTGTTATTTCCAAATCTTTGGTATTTACTAGAAATGTTACAGCTGATGATCCAAGAATTTATTCATATGAAAGTGATAACTTCTTTCCAATTGACAAGATGGGATTTGAAGCAGACTCTTACAATGGACCAGTAAAGAAGAATCAATGGAAGGATAGATGGGGTTTCCCAAGAAATTTTCATTTCTGTCTAGAGTTACATGCATCCTTCTTCTATATCGGTGGTGAGTTATTCAATTTCAAAGGAGATGATGATGTTTGGGTATTCATTGATAATCGTTTAGTATTGGATTTGGGTGCACCACATGATGTTTCCGGTCAGAATGGTCAAGGTTCAGTCTATTTGGATAATTTAGGATTGGAGAAGAGTAAGAGCTACAATTTCGATTTCTTCTATTGTGAACGTCATACAACTGATTCCCATATTATGGTTGAGACAAGTATAGATTTCAAATGTAAATACTATGATTATTGTGGTGTTTGTGAGGGTATGGGTAAATGTTGTAATCCTTCAGAATGTTATGGTAGTTTACCTGCTTGTGGTCATTTCGAATGTCCAGGTCTAACTGATATTGCTCAAGGTGTTGACTGGCATTACCATTGTAAAGTGGTCGTTCCAAATTGCTCTCTCTCCGATACATTCTGTGTTAAACATCAATGTGATCCAGATAGTAAGCAATGTGTACCATCAACTGATTATTCACCATGCCAAGGTAAATCCAATAGCTCATGTATTGAAGCACGTTGTGATGATAAAATGGGTGGCTGCTATCTTAAGAGTAAACCAAAGGATTCAAGTAAAAATGATACAACTTGTTATCATGAAACTTGTAATGAAGATAGTGGAACTTGGGAGTATAAAGCACTTTGCGAGGATGACTCTGATAAATGTGTTCAAAAGAAGTGTATACCAAACTCTGGCTGTTCAAGTAGTGTAGTAGATTGTAATGATAACGATCATTGTACCATCGATAGTTGTTCAAAGGATTCAGGTTGTAAGCATGATCCAATTGAAAATTGTGTACCATGTGTTGAGGGTAATAAATGCTCGGAATCAAGTGACAAATGTCAACAGTTGGAATGTAATCCATACAATAGCACAACAGAATGTATAGATCGTACTAAAAAGAATTGTGATGATTCCAATGCTTGTACCATCGATACTTGTAATGGTGAAACAGGTGAATGTGATAATAAACCAAAAATTTGTGAAGCCAAAAATAAATGTTCAACAGCACGTTGTAACTCAAAGACTGGTGAATGTGATAATATCTATCATTGCGATGATGGTATACTTTGTACAATTGATAAATGCTCAGATAATGGTACATGCCATTATGAACCAAATCTTTGTGACGATGGTGATCAATGTACCATTGACATATGTTTGAATACTCTCACAGAAACTGGTGGTTGTTCACATAGCCCACGTGTTTGTGAACCAAAGAATTCCTGTTTCACAAGTCATTGCGATAAAAAGTTGGGTTGTGTTCAAACTCCAATCGTTTGTCCAGTAGAAGCATTTTGTTTAATTGGTTTCTGTGATAATTCTACAAAGAAATGTATGACTGCTGCTAGACCTTGTATTCCAGAAGATCCACGTTGTCAATACGGTGTTTGTGATAATACATCCAAAGCTTGTATCTTTAAAGACTATGATCCATTACCATTCAGATGTCAATCAGCTGCCGTAAAAGCTGCTGTTGGTGTTGGTGCAGGTGCCGCCGCTGGTATTGCGATTGGTGGTGCCATAGCTATGGGTCTTGCTATTTTTGGTGGTAAACGTGGTTATGATGCTTGGAAATCTTCAAGGGATAATCAAATCCAAACTTCATCTGAAAATCCATTATATAATCCAAATCCAAATCAAGGTGATAATCCACTTTATGCTGCAAATAATTCTTAAAAATAATAATACTAATACTAATAATAATAATATTTCAATTTTTTTTCATCCAATTTTATAAATATATATTTATGTAAAAAAAAAAATAAAAAAACAAAAAAAACAAAATAAAATAAATTTTGAACTATTTTTTAAAAAAATCTATCAAAAATAACATATTTCACAACCGAATTTTTTTTTTTTTTTTTTTTTTTTTTTTTTTTTTTTTTTTTTTTTTGAATTATGAAAATATTTTCATTTTTTTTTTTTTTTCATTTCTCAAAATTTTGTAAAACCTAAATTGTATTTGTATATATTAAAAAAAAAAATTAGAAAATGGAACAAAACATTTTAAATAGTATTTTAGATAAATTTGGAGATGGGGATCAAGAGAGATCAGATATTAGACATAATGATAGTGGTGATGAAAATGATAATCATAGTGACCATGAAGGTAATCATGGCAATAATGAATGTTGTGAAGGCAAAGAAGATGGTGATAAAGAGTATGAAGTTGATGTGGAAGATATGACCGATGAACAATATATGCAATATATTCAAGAGCAACAAGAACCAAAGATTAAATCTGGTGGTAATACAGGTGTAAAAGGTGTATTATCCGATTATGCTGAACATCGTGAAAAACAAAAACAAAAGTATTTACAAAAAAAGTATGAAACTCAAAAAATGTTGGAAAAAATGTGTTTCACGACTAGAGATCAACCAACAACAACCGAAGAAGAGGATCAATTGGATAGTGATGATGATGATCTCGAAAGAATTCGTAAAGCTCGTATGGAACAATGGAAATCGAAACAACAAATCACTTCAGATGTTAAAAAACCAGAGAAAAAAGTATTTGGTTATTTAAAACAAATTGATTCCTCTCAATATATTCATGAAATCGATAACGAACCTCCAAATGTTTTCGTAATAATTCATTTATTCCAAAATGTAAAATTTATTGTTTTTTTTTTTGAAAAAAAAAAAAAAAATTAAATAATAATTTATTTACTAATTAATTAATTATATTTATATCATAGTATATACCAGAATGTGTATTATTAAACCAACAATTAGGTCAGATGGCAATTAAATATAGATATATTAAATTTTTAAAGATACTAAGTACTGAAGCAAAAGCAAATTATCATGATGAGGGTTTACCAAGTTTATTAATTTATATTGGTGGTAAATTATTGGTATCTTTTATTCCAATTACAGAGGAATTGGGTAGAAGTTTTGATCAAGAGGACTTGGAATTATTACTATCAAGTTATGATATCATTCCAAATCCATTGAAACCAAAATCAAATTGGGAAACTTCATTATCAAGTAAAAGACCAGACTCTGATGATGATTATGATGATTAAATCTACTATAAAAAAATAGAAAATAAAATTAAAAAAAAAAAAAGTTTGCCCATAAACTTTGAACCATTAAAAAAAATTTATTTATTTTTATCAGATCGTTTATTTGTTTTAGATATTAAAAAATATACAAAAAACAAAAAGATATTCATTTTTTTATTTATTTGTGTTATTTTAAATTGATTTTAATTTTCATTTTTTGAAAACATTTTTTTTTTAAAAGAAAAACGAAAAGTCAAAAAATCGAATCCCATAATAAATTTCAAAAGGGGATTACGAATAAATTGAAAGTTTTTTATATTTTTAAAGGTATGACCAAACTCTTAGGATCATTTCTAGAGTAACGTCTATTAAAATTATTCATCAATAATTTTCCTCTTAACCCGCTAGGATGATGATGCACACTCACTACACGAAAGCGTGAAACCGTTCTTGACAAATGATTCATTTATTTGTTATTAACATTGATGACCGTCTAATTCAGGGATGAATTGGTTGTGTGGTGAGATTCGTACTGGCTCTTTTTTAATTTAATTAATGAAAAAAAATTCTCGAATATGATAATGAAAATCTAATTTTTTTAAATTTTATTGTTTTACAATTTTAACTATATATAATAAAAAAAGTTTTAATTTTTTATTTCTGAAATTAATTCTTTATCAGTTTCTTGTCCATTATTACTCTTATTTTTATTCCTGTCTTCTACTTCCTCCTGATAAAGAAAAATTAAATACAACATTTTTTAATCCAATTAATTTTTAAAATCAAATCAATAATAATAACAAAAATGAAAAAATCTTCTTCATCAAAATCATTGTTCTACTTTTCAAATCAATATAAATGAAAATAAATAGGCTATAAATATATATATATATTTAATATATTTTTTTAAAAATTTTTTTATTTATTTATATTTTTAAAAAAATTTAATTTTTATATTGAATTTCAAATGGATGAGCTTCAGTATTAAAAACATATTTATCTAGTGGAATTACAGAGGATGGTTGAAAAATTAAATAAAGGTATTTTAAAGTTTCAGCCATAAAGAAACTTTGTTGGTTATCATTATATGCCCAATTATTAGATACATCGTTGAGACCAACATAACCATTTTCAGTTTTACAAACATTGACGAGTGCTTCAAAGATTTGCCAAGCTAATTCTTGGTACTCGACTTTACCAGTTAAACGGTAGGCTATAAATATAGACTCTACAGTTTCAGGACGTAAAATGTACCAACTTACTGCTTTATAGCCATTGAATCTAATATCACCAGATTCTGGGTCAATGTAAGCTACTTCTGGACCCAAACCAGTTGGAGTGATTGTATAGATTTTGGCGCATGTTTTAGTAACCATTTCACCAACCTCCATATAGAGGGCACTCTTTTCATCGTTACCAGTAATGTTTGAGGCTGCAGCCAACATAAACATACCACCAGCAAAACATGTAAGATGTTCTTGAGTGTTTGTTATTGAACCACCCTCTAAATTTGTAATGAAACCATCACCTTGTTTACTTACTTTATAGAGGTGCTTAATGATTGCATCAGCAGAACGTTGGAAAAGTTCACTATATCTCTCTTCAACACCATCTTGATAGACCCACATTTTTAAAAGATATTCATAGAATGAGTCACCCATTGCACCAATTGATACTTGATTATTACAGAATCTCGATCCATCTTGTGAGACCAATGTTGGATATAAACCTGGAACTGATGGTCTCATTGCTGCTAATGTATCGACAATCTTGTCAGAGTATTGTTTATATTTTGGATCACCTGTTATTCTCGAGAGTTCATTGAGTTCTAAAAACATCGAACCTGGTTCACATAGGATAACACATTCACCAGCCCATTGTTGAAATGAAGTTCTGTGATCTGTTAATGACACAAAACTTGCTGGGAATGGTGACCCATCTTTAAATGCATATAAAAGTAAGTCTGCTAATTCTTTACCTTTATCCAAGTACATTTTATCACCTGTAAAACTATACATTGTAATATAGGTACCCAAGAATCTAATGGTCGTTTCAAATACCGATACCTTTTTACCGGTATCTTTTCTATGATTTAATACTTCGGCAACCCATTCTCTAGCCTCTTCAAACTCTTTATCTAATCCCATCAAATATAGTGTATCCATTGAATCCACAATGGTCAAACCAAGTCCAAACCAATCGTGACCTCTCTTTTCGATTGGTTTTAATTCATCTAAACCCCATGCAATCTCACGATATTTCTCCCAACAATATTTCATCTCCTCTCTAACTTTAAGTGATCTCTCTTTGTTTAACTTTTCATTCTGTTTATAAACCTTATCGATCTTGTTGAATGGATTCTCTTGACCCGCTTTAACTCTTGGTAATTTTCTTCTATTTTTATCATAGGTTGTACCTTCTCCTCCTCCTTGTTTTTCAATATTATTCGTATTTGGCATTTGGTTGCCTGTATTATGTTGTAAATTTACTGTTGTTGTAGTCGTCGTCTCTGTTTTTATGGTTTCTCTTTCTTTTGGTTGAATTCCAATATTCCTCCATTTCTGTGGTAGTGGATTATCACCACCTCTATTCAAACCACCATCAAAACTTAAAATAGTGATAAATCCAATAATAAATATTGCTGCAATCATTGCAATAAACAATTCTTTACCTTTGGTCATCACCATTTTTATTTATTTATTTATTTATTTTTTTTTGTCAATGTTTTATTTATGAATTAATAATACAAAAAGAAAATGGTACAATTATTTTTTTATTTTTTTTATTATTGGTGGAAGGGAAGTTAAAAAAAAAAAAAACAAAAAAAAGTGTTGGTTTTTTAAAAAAAAAAAAAAAATAAGTGGTAAAAATTATAATTATATCTTTGGTTTGCTAAATTTTGATGCATGCAACAAAAAAAATAATTTTCAAAAATGTGAGGTGTCTTTTTTTTTTTTTTTTGAAAAAAAGATGGTTCGTGAAAAAAAAAAAAAAAAGAAAAAAAAAACAATTAATTAGGATTTAATTTAAAATAAAAATTAAAAAAAAAAAAAAATAGAAAAAATAAAATAAAATTTTCATAACGAATTTTATTTTTGAAATATTTTGGTAACCTTTCCATTTGTTTGATTTTATTGTTTGATTTTACCATTTTTGTTAAAGAAAAAAATCTACAGAATTCCTTGTTTTTTTTTAAAAAATATAGAGGCAAAGCAAAGAATTAAATAAATTAATAATATATTTTTTTTTTTACAAATTATACAATTGATATCCCAAAGTAATACTATCACTATTATTACTATATTATAGTTCATATGGTTCATATGAAAATATTGGTTTTTTAGATCTACATGGTACTGGTGGCGGTTGTTGAGACTGTAGTTGTTCAAAGCCATTATTATAACCACCATTATTATTAAAGTTAAAATTATTATTATTATTATTATTATTATTATTATTATTATTATTATTATTATTATTATTATTATTATTATTATTATTATTATTATTATTATTAAAAAAATTTGTATTGTTACTAATTATTGGGGGCAATGGTGCTTTTCTTAAAACAACACCATTATTATTATTATTGTTATTAATTGGAACAATTGGCTCTAATAAGACCCTAATTGCAAAATCGTTTTTATATTTTGAATCTAAAAATGCACCACCACTACCGCCATCTAAATTATCTTTTTGAAAGTAAAGAGTTATAAATGGTGGACCATCTAGTGTTGGGATTGGTAAAAATGAAGTATGAAATAAAAATCTAAATATGCATTGAGGAGAATCTAATGAATTAAACTTAATCAATGTATCACCTTTTGCATTTATACTTTTTTCACGTAATATATATGAATAAAAATCTTGATAAAATCTAAAAAAATAATTATTATTATTAATATAAATGGGTTTTATTACATAAAAATAATAATAATTAAATAAAAAAAATGATAACTAAATAAAAAATAATATTTACACTATACCAGTATTACTACCTCGTATTATAATTGGTAAATTTCTGATTTTTGGATTATAATTTAAATGAATTTCAATGTTGAAATGAGCTGTTTGAGTTGAAGAATAAAGACCCACTACATCAATATTTAAAATTTTAAATTGTGGTGGTGATAATAATAACGAATGAGGTACTTGACCACGAAGATGTTGAATATAATAGCCAACATATCGTTTTTGTGATGGTACAGTTACACATTCAGAATTATTTGCTCTCATTTGGTTAAAGAATGATATGGTATTGTATAGTATAGTATCAGAGCTATAAAATAATTCGGGTGTTGATCTTTTCATTTGGTAGATTAAATATGAGGAGATTACAGTTCCAGTTCTACCTTTACCAGCTTTACAATGAACTGCTATAACATTTTGTTCATCAGACTCTAACCATCTATCCATCGTTTCAACTATATCCAATAATAATAGAAATGGTGGTGGTGTATGATCTTCAAATCCCATCACAATTACATTACCACCAACTTTGGTTGTGCTATATGAAATTTCCATTGCAACATTTAATATCTTTACAAAATAAATAATAAAAACAAATATATATGCATATGTTATTATTATTATTACTATTATCATTATTACTATTATCATTATTATCATTTATTATTATTATTATTATTATTATTATTATTATTATTATTATTATTATTATTATTATTATTATTATTATTATTATTATTATATAATTACTTTCCAATGACCAGAATGATATTTTTCAAAAAAATTATAAACTTCATTTATATCATTTCTAAATGCTTTATGAATACTATCAGCTGGATAACCCATTGCTAAAATTCTCTCTGTAATATATGATAAATCTAAATTAAATCCATCTTGTATAAATCTTTTTTTTCTTCCGCTTACTATTGTTCTAAAATAATCAAATCCACTACCATCAGACATTATTGTTTAATTTATTTTTTTTTTTTTTTTTTTTTTATTTATTTTGTTTTGTTTTATTTATAAATTATTAATTATTTAATACACATAAAAGAATCGTTTAATGTTGTGTTTTTAAAAATTAAAAAAAAAACAAAAAAAAAAAAAAAAAAAAAAAAAAAAAATTATGAAAATTTTGTTGGTAGAACAAACCCAAAAAAAATACAGAATAAATTTACTTTTTTTTTATTTTTTTTTTTACACTTAAGTGTTTCATTTGGATAATGAATTTTAAAATGGTAATGATAATATATATAAAAATAATAATAATATAATAATTGATTAATAATACAGAATCATTGATTTTAAATGAAACAGAAAAAAAAACAAAAAAAAAAAAAAAAAAAAAAAAGGTGGAAGGTCGCAATTAATTAATTTATATTTTTTTTTTTTATTTTTTATTTTTTATTTTTGCGTAAACCAAACAGTTTCAAAAAAAAAAAAAAAAAATCAAAAAAAAAAAAATATATTTTAAAAGAGTGATCTTGTCGATTAGATAGTCTTGTTTTAGTTAGAAAGATCCCCAAAATGAAAACTCCTTGATATTTTTTTATAAATTTTTATTATTA